TTCTTTCCCTTGATCCCTTAATCGGACTGGCATGGGCTGATCCCCCCGATTTGGTGACTGCGGGGGACTGCCTGCGCTATCCGGGTCATCATCACTAATGACAAGCTTCTTGCGAGTCTTAGTCTTGTGGCGTCCGTGCTGCGGTGCAGTCTTCTCAGCTGTCTTTTTTTTTTGGGGGCCTTCCAGGGCTGTGTCGGGGCGCTTTGGGGACTCTTCCATGGCTGCCTTCCTCTTCCTCCCCGTCCTGCTCGTCCAGAGGTTGTCATGGTGGAGAGCATCGTTCATTTCAGGGAACAAGGGCGTGCCTATGCCTTTGGGGCCTCTTGCTCTTCCTGCTGCTCCTGCTCCTCGCTTGCCAATTGCAACATACTTGTCGGTGGTTTCTTCCTCCGCTCCCACTGGTCACTCCAGGCATGGGCGGTGCCTCCACGCGTACATCGCACCTGCTATAATGCTGCTCCTCCAATGTGTCCGCGGGCTCCTCTTGCTGCTGCTCGCCCTTCTCCATGGCAGGCTCGAAATCCCCGTTCGCATCCTTCAAGGCCTCGCCCACACACTTTTCCTGTTGTGCAGCACACCTCTCCCTCTCCCTGCGGGTAGGGATCGCTGCACGATGGGCCTTCTCAGCGACTCACCTGCCCACGAGTTCACGATTGCTGTCCGCCATTTCCTTGCACGTGTGGCCTCTTCCTCGTCCGGGTCGTCATGGTGGCGCAGTAAAAACTCTACGTCCGTGTCCACTCTATCGACAACCGACGTTGGCTTGACCTCGAGATCCCTGTCCTGTCGCGATGTGTTCACTGTTTGCCGCGTGGGAGGCGATCTCGAGATCCCTGAGCCGGCTGCCTCGTCATTTGCACGTGGTCACACACCTTGTCTATGACATCCTCCCGCTCCTGTGACGCCCAAACCTCGCGCCCAGCACGACTTCCTGTTTCGGAGTGGGAGAGGGCCCACAAGCGCGTGAAAGGGGTGTGCCGAGGATTTTTGGAAAGTGGAGTGGAGTCCCAGGTCGGAACTGGGATCACTAGTGTCAAATTTCAAGGACAGAGGTGCAAGTGGTTCAGCGAAGGACCAGGTTTTCCATTCTACCCTTCTCAGAACCGAACAGTTAGTTTCGTCGGCCTCGTTGCTTGGGGCGGGTTCGTACTCTATGTACGGAGGGAACACAGTGGGTGTCTCTCTGTATAAACATTTGTCGTCGACGGGTTTCGCAGATCTTGGAATCTGATGCAGACGGCCTCAGCCAGAGGCTGTGTTCTCAGCGCTCAGCTTCGGAACGGGTTCGTCGGACAAATCCTGCGGCACGATAAGTGTAATACTGCTGACACTCGAGCACGACCTTCGGGGCCAGTAGGGGGCTATCGCATCCCATCGGACGACCGTTAGATTGTGATAAGGAAGAAGGAGATAGAAGGGAGGGTGAATAGAAGGACAAACGTTAGATTGTGATTAGGGGCCAGTAGGGGGCTATCGCATTCCAAGGGACGGCCTTCGATGGCGACAAATCCCGGTTTCATGTAATACTGGTGGTTAGGTGGGTCGGGGTAATCCGGAATTCGATGATTTTGACCTATGGCCCTCTGGAAATCCCATGCACACAACCAATTGTTCTTCGTTTGGTAGGGGTGTTCGATCGGTGAAAGTGGTGTTCGTTTTCCCAGTATCTCTTGACTCAGGGTCCCTCAGACAGTCGCGGTCAGTGATCCAGAATGGAATGTCAATGTCTGTATCTTGCGAGGTTGAAGAAAGATAAGGCAGACACGCGTATACATGATGACCACTTACTCCCGGTTATTTGTATATGTGCATGCGCAGGATCTGCTACCACCAGAGTTTGAGGCAACCTGTTATGGATACATCTAATCTACTCCTGGTCTACTTCGAAAAGACGGAACCAGTAGACGTCATGCAAATTAGACAATCATTCGACGCAACATAAACCAACTTACAAGCAGAAGGAAAAGAGAAGGAATAAGTTTTCCACGCTTGATGTGATAAAGCATTTGGACCGTGCATAAGGTTGGTCCAACTCATACACGTGTGTGC